ATACAGCATATAGTTCGCTCTGTCTGTTAAACTTAAATAATTATTGTAACGAAATATTTAGTGGGTTATTATTCTTTGATTCTGGGTGAATTGATAAATCAAAATATAACGTTACGGGTTTTGATGATATTTATTTTAATAACAATTTGACATAAAATTGATAAATGATTACAACACGCACAATAATAATACTTCTACTTAATATGTCTAACTAACTAACTAATCCTTTTCCTTACTATCTGTATCACTGCTACTTGATACTACTCCAAAATTATCTATCTATCTTCTACTATATCACCGGTCTTTTATACTCTCTATTTCATTCTATATTTATATCTATTTTCCGAGAAAGGAAAGTATGAGCCATAAGAAGAATAACTTGAGTCATTTCCTTGATTAACACGACTCCCTGAACTTAGATAACTGTTTCTTGTCATACTTGACCGGACTACGTATTGATAGTAATCCTTTTCTATTATGACTTAACCGTTCCTTAATGTTCATGTGAACTCTATATGAGAATATAGATTATTGGCACAATTATATGTCTAGGAACATATAATTACATTGTTTTGTCTTGTTAACACAAGCAGACATTAAAAAGCGTGCGATTTTTTATTTCCTCAGCAAGAATTGAATATCTATTTTGTTTCTTTTGTGAAAATATTAAAATTATTCGTTAAATGAACTTTTCAATTTTGTATTCCTAGACACATATAATATACGACTCACAAGAATATTAGAAACCGATATTTCATATGTCGACTATTACGTAGTATTTTTATCTTTAAACTTGCTTATCGTATTTTGTCTTTTCCTATGATCTTATTCTAAAATCGTTAAATTATTTTATTAGAATTTTCTTCGTTCTCTTAAATCTAACGTACGCAGAACATTTTCTATTTAGAAAATCGCATATTTCTTACTTCTATGTTCTAGAATATCTTTTATTGAACTCTATATAAATTATTCTGTGATATTAGCAGGAATATTAACTAGAAGAGAAAGCATAAGAATCAAAGGAGATCTCTTTCTTTCTTTATCACGTTGAAGTGATAGTATTATTAGAAAAGAACTACTCTTTGTCTCTCTCGAGTATAGCAAGTATATGAAATAATTTCGAATGTTTCGAGTAAAATTCTTTTTAGAAATTCCTCAGAATAAGCAATTTTTCTATATACTGGAAGATTATTCTATAAAAAGAATATTGTCTCTTTTATATGACAGTGATAAGTATAAGGAGAAAACTCGATAAAAACGAATGAAAAAGTTATATTAAAAGAATATTACACTCATAAAGCATATAGTTCGCTCTGTCTGTTAAACTTAAATAATTATTGTAACGAAATATACGTATAGTGGGTTATTATTCTTTGGTTCTGGATGAATTAATAAATCAAAATATAACGTTACGGGTTTTGATGATATTTATTTTAACCTCCTGAGGACCGCTGTCTTCAGGCTGCAGACAAACAGAACGAAAGAATATTTTTTTCGTTCTGTCGTATCGTTGAACATATGTTTAAAAGCAGAAAATGGATAGAGGATCGTTCATTCAGTCAATGGTGATTACTGATTATTTTCTTCTAACTAAGAAGAAAATATCAGCTAAATTTAGTTCAATAATTATTCAATTTTTATAAATGAAAATGGATTTTTGTTTTACCTATACTCTTCACTTTCATAGCTTTTACTTTGATTGACCATCAATTTGCTCATCTCATGAAGGAGATATACATCATCATCATCACTAGAGCATAAATTTAATTATTATTTGTTTATTCCTCAACGTTGGCTTATCACCTGTACTCTTCACTTTCATACTTCAAACCAATGCCGTTCAACTGATCTTCAATCTCATCGATGTCTGAATCAGGCAGATTCAGCATAACTTCCCCTCATATTCACTATCGCTTTCATCATCAAAAACATTCTCCTTGTCCGTTTTGAATATAAGACGTTGTGAACATACAAAACTAATCTTTCTATGACATAAGACTTGTTTTTTTTCGAAACACTTTGTTTGTTTCGTATTATGTAATACAGACATAGTATCAAGACGATAGTACAGATCCATGCGACATAAGTTGATCCGTGGACTGGTGAACAGTGAATAAGCGTTCGCTTCTAAAACTTAGATAATGCAACACACTTATGCATTATATTATACACACGCGTTCTGCGTATAAAACCTGACTTAAATATAATGCATTTTCAATTTTATGATGAAAAAAATACATATATTGGGTTTTTATTTATTTTTGTATAAAAGAGTCATCATGGTTGAGGTTACGCCAATCGCAACGTGTCTTGAAGAAAGATAAACTATCAGAAAGAATATCAATGTGTGTGACAGTTTCGTTCTTTTTCACATCGTTGAATTTTTTCGCGAGTTTAATATAAATCTCTACGGATAATCTTCGATTTAATTTTTATACTATAACTTTTCAAACAATTAAATTTTGATTATTCTCTCATCGAATAAAACAGTTTACCAACACCAACAAGAGATGTGTTCACTAAAAAGATGTTGTAATCTACAATTTTTTGTGATTGAACACCAAGTTCGTTTCTATAACTTTGCGTCAAATTATAACGTTGTGAAACAAGAGATAAATAGAAAAAAATTAGATCGGTTTTCAAATGAAACAAAAAAACTGTTATTGATTATGAATATTTTTTTAATTATGTATAAATTAAAAAGTATAGCTGAGACATCTCTCTCTCGTGGCACAATAGAACAAATTATCCACAATTATCTCAAGATGAAAAAAGTTACATCTCGTTGGATACCTCATCAATTGAATGATGAACAAAACCAAGAACGAGCTCGACTTTGTCGTGAAAATTTAGCAAATTTCGTGATGGTTCCTGGCGATTATGTGATATTATTACAGGTGATGTGACGTGGATTTACCATAGGCAGAATCATCACAAGTCAACAAACAAAACCTGGATTGGCGAAGGTGAATCACCGCGTACTATCGTTCGTCGACGCAAATTTGAACGAAAAAATTTATTTTCTATATTCTTTAAATTAAATGGTCCTGTTCTAATACATGCTGTTGATAATGACGAGACTATAGATCACGACTATTGTATAGAAAATTGTCTCAAGCCTGTTGTCAAAGAAATACGGAAACAAAGAAAGTCAAATGGTACTAAAGGCATAAAATTGCTTCACGACAATTCTTCACCCCATCGTCATTCAGATGTTATTAATTATTTAACAGAAGAAGGTATCAATATAATACCACATCCACCATATTCATCTGACCTTGCACTCTGTGATTATTGGCTAAATTATTACATCAAACAGAATTTAACTGATCAACCAGATGAAAAATCATTGGCTCGTGCAGTTTCCAAGCTAATAAAAAATATTCCAGAAGAATTTTAAAAAACTTTTGACAAACTATTAGAGAGGATGGAACTTTGTATAAATAATCATGGTGACTATTTTGAACATTTAATAAAATAAAACTCGAACTTTCTCTTCGTCTTTATATATTTTTTTTAATAATCTGGGAACTTTTTGTATGACCTAAGTATTCATCACCAGCATGATGTTCTTCAATAAACGAACGAAGTTTACTTAAGCATTTATTAATGTAAATATCGGCGGTAATTGCTGGACCTTTAGTTCCACCAATATAAGGTTTTGAGATACCTTTGGCTGGCAATGCCAACCAAACTAAAAATTTTTTCGGATATTTCTCTTTTGTTTTATATTTCACACTATCTGGGACATCTTCTTTATCAAAAGCATAAAAACCGCCATTTTGTGGCATACCATCATGAGAGAAAGTAAAATATTTTTCGTCATCAACAATAATGAAGGTGTCGGGTGTTGTGATTTCACGTCTCAATTTACGACACTTTTTGGGTACTTGTTCGAGTTGACTTTTATTATATTTTGGTGCCTTCTGGCGTTTATAATATTTTAGACCAATTTTATTCAAATTATAATGAATAGTTGATTGAGCAACACCAAATGTTTTTCCTGTTTTCGTTGACTAACACCAATATGATTAGCAGCAGCATTTTGTAAACGTTTCAAGATTTTTCCTTTGAAAGATGTTAGATGACCACTTCTTGGCAAGTCTTCGGCTGGTAGACCAATTTCATAACGTTTTATTATATCATAAATTGTTCGCCTTTTAAAACCTTCTTGTACGAAATGTTTTACTGTACCATTATTTTTCAAATTATTATTCTGTCCAAGCATTGAATGGACACGTTTACGAAGATCAGCCATTTTAGTGAACAATGAATTATAAAAAAAACTAAAACGAATAATGCAAATAATAGATACGTTACGCTATGTAACCAATAGAAAAAAATTATTCCAGTCGCTTTAGTAAATGTATAGAAACATTCAATATTTTGTGCGAAAACTTTTCGATCGCCCGTTACTTAATGTTTCAACAGCAGTGGATCTGCAATTAATTGATTAAATTAAAATAAAAACAATAGAAAAGAATGAAGAAGAACGTCAAAATAGGCAACCTACAATATCAGAGGTAAGAAAAGCCTTGAATCAGATGAAGTCAAGAAAAGCTCCGGGCAACGATGAGATTACTGCTGATCTTCTTAAAGCTGGTGGTGAACCAGTTATCAAGTGGTTACATGAAATTTTCAGTGATGTATGGAAACACGAGGAAATGGTAGAGGAATGGAATTTAGCAATTTTGATTAAATTATTTAAAAAAGGTGACAAACAACTGTGTGACAATTACAGAGGTATTTCACTTCTCAGTGTGACTAGTAAACTCTTATCTCGTATTATATTGAATCGTATTCAACTCCTGGTCGATCGTCAATTATTGGAAGCACAGTCTGGATTCAGATCTAATAGATCTACAATTAATCAAATTTTCACATTAAAATTATGTATGGACAAACGTAGAGAATTTAACAAGCCCTTATTCATGTGCTTTATTGATATTTCAAAAGCCTACGATTCTGTTAATCGTGAACTATTATGGAAAGTATGCAGAAAATATGGAATATCGGAAAAGCTAGTTAATCTTCTAAAAAGGCTTTATACAAATTCAAAAGCAAAGGTGAAAATAAATGGTGAATTCTCCGATAGTTTCGAAATTTATAATGGTGTAATGCAAGAAGGCATTCCCTCTCCAATTTTATTCAATATTTTATTTTATTTTATCATCAGGAAGGTTATCGAAGAAGCAGATGTGATAGGTGTACAATTTTCTTATGGAAGAAATGACTCTTTTCACGGTACGATAGAAAAATATTTGAACTTCGACATTTTGACTTTATTGTCCGCAGAATATTTAGTTGTCATGTGTGAGACATCTGATGATTTAGAAATATTCATTTAAACCTTTGAAAAACTTGCTCAAGAATACGAGTTATCAATGAATGTGAAGAAAACGTGTATTATGACATTGAAACAAATGGAAGTCGATCAAAATAATAAAATTATACACAGTCCTGAAGTTGATCAACCTGAATTTGATATTAATATTAGAAATCAGAAGATAGAAACTAGAATTTTTCATTTATTTAGGTTGTGGCGTATCAAGAGATTAAAAACCTGATGAGGAAACCAACATAAGGTTAATGAAAGCATCCACAGCTTTCAATTAAATCTAGACTGAGAATATATAGAGCACGTGTACTGCCAATGCTGCTGTACGGAAGTGAAACTTGGTCAATTACTAAAACACATGAACAAAGAATTAGTACGTTTTATATGAAGTGTCTTAGAATAATCATAGGTGTCAATTTAGGTGACCGTATATCAAATGATAAAATTTTAGAAATCACTGGACAGCCACCAATTGAAACAATTCTACGTCGAAACAGATTAAGGTGGTTTGTTCATGCCAATAGAATGATGAATAGTGATAATGAACCATCCTTAGTGAAAACGATCACTTTCTCTTACTTTCCAGAAGAGAAACGTCCTGGTAACAACGGCATTAGGAAAAGGTGGGAGGATAAAGTGAAAGAGGATATTGAACACTGCCAGATTAAGAATTGGAGAAAAAGAGTCTTTAAACAGAGATCACTGGAGAGAATTAATTAACAAAAATTTACAGAACAGACCTGTACATCAAAATATTAAAGAAATCATCTACGAATATAAATAAAGGGCTGTGAATCGAAGAAATGATGACTTGGCTGCATCTCACGGATTGATCAAAAGAAAAGTAACAGAAATTCTAGTTAAAAGTACAAATAATCATTATGCTTGTCCTGGTTGTGGAATTCAACTTAAACCTCAAGGAATTACGAATCATGTAAAGTCGTGTGTTAATGCTCAAGTTTGGTGCAAGAACAATAAAATTAAATTTTAAGTGGAATAAAATGACCTTCAAATGATTGTAAGATACCTTCTTAACATTGTGAGTATGGTCCATGACGGAGTCTATTTAAAGCTGGTTTATCAGAGGGTGGTCTCCTGATCTCCATGTTTTTATCGTCAATCGAGTTCTAACAATACGGTCGTCAATGACGACAAAAACTCTAACTTTGCTAATAGCTATTTTTGTTTTGTGTATTTTGTGTCTTTTTTTTCTCACCCTACACCGGAAACGGTAGCGGGTCTAACTAACTACTTATTCTACACCTAGACTGTAATTTTTACAGCGGCATTTCACACAAACCTATCTTTCATAGAAAAGTTTAGGAAAATCACATGTCATCCTTGTTGTTCGACATTTCTTCCTGTCTGGTTGTGGATAGGTTTAAGTGCAAAGAACATTCACACGCACACCCAAAACTGTTGTCATTAGATTTCATTGGGACATTTTCTCAAAATTCTTGTTGTAAAACGGCCACTATACGCGGTAAAACATCAATGAGAGCTGCATTAAAACATAACCAATCGTGATTTCCATCGCAACCATAGCCAATCAATTTTCCATCCCCATAATCCATGAAATAAACTGGAAAACTGAACAATGTTAATAAATCGCGTAAACGATAACTACTATCACGTAATGCCACTTCCAAAGAACCGACGTTACCTGTATAAAGTGCTACAGATATATCATGTAGAACTGCAGCATGAGTAGTTGTACTTTGAGCAAACCATTCATTGGAACTGATAGAATCAGAAGGATAACCAAATGGGCCTACAAGTGGTTTATTATCAATAATTCTTATGTTATATATTAAGCTTTGAATAACAGGATTCATCAGATCAAGGGCACCAGAAAAGCTTGCTGCATAAACAAAATTACTAGAATATAATTCAGCATAATGAATCGCGCCAAATCCACCCATCGAATAACCAGCGATAGCACGACCTTGTTTTTTGGTCACTGTTCGTAAATTAAAATCAACCCAAGGTACTAATTGTTCCATATGAAATGTACGCCAGTTTTGTGGAGCCAACTTTCCAGGAATGATCCAATTTGTATAGAATCCAACTTCCCCACCATTGGGCATAACAGTAATTAATGATAGATTACTGCAAACTTTTCCAGCTATACCACTTGTTGTCCAATCTATTTCACTACCACCTGCACCATGCAATAAGTAAAGAACAGGATAACGACGACTAACACCACTAGTTGCATAATCAGTTGGAACAAGTATTCGAATCTTTTGATCACCAAGCACTTCTTCTGTTGATACAACAACCTCATAGAGTTGATTAGTCAATTGCGAAGAAGAACGAACCGTAAGTCCAAAAGCAGATATAAAATGAGGTGCATCACCAATAATATAACTAACCAAACTGCATAAAACGATAATTAACGTTACGAGAAATGAGTTATTTTTCATTGCTGTGTTAAAAACCAACTGCAATTATTCATAAATTTTTATATGGTTGTTGTGTAGTGTGCCTTTATTTAGTTTTTATATCTATGTATATTTATAGCAGATGATATTTTTCTCATAAATTACTTTTCAATTTAATAAGACATCAACTATTTCTGTAAGAAAGAAAACATCTGTTTCATATGGTCATCAATAAGAATAAAAGATTTGACAATTTTTTTCTATTTTCATCAGGGGTGCTCGAATACCAGTAAAATTTGAACTACTATGTACTCGTATAATTCCTTCAATCACTCATATGGGTAGGGGCGTAACCAGAGGGGGGCTCAGCCCTCCCCCTACGAAAATTTTCTGGTTACGCCCCTATAATTGATTGTATATATTGCATTATATTCGGAAGATGATGCGATGAGAACAATCTATATTCTGAATAAAAGGCATGACAACTATTATCATTGTTCGACATATAGATTACTACACTTTATATTCAATATCTAACTTAACTTTAAAATCAACAATATATTACAATTTTAAAATGGATATGTTGATTGATATTTTTGTATTAAATATATGTATTCGAATTTATCAATCGATTCTGTTCAATATAAAAAAGATAAACATTACATTTTATTTATCGGTTTTATTCAAATTATTTTTATTTAAACAAAAAGAAACACATTGACACATAAATTTTATTTACATAAGATTCGATTAAAAAAACCTCGAATAATACTTTCATAGTTTTATCTATTGTTTTATATTATTTAAAAAAAACCAAACAATATATCTTTTTTCCGATATTCAACTATTCACTTCTAATCAACAGAAATCAAATTATTTTATTTACATATTTATATTCAATTACTGTTTTTTCGAGCTACATTTATATCAATCAACATTATATTCCCAGAAAGGACGGACGGG